TAGGCACGGGCTATTATTTGGTGTGAGTAAATTGACTTCAAAATGTGCCCCTTTTGTTTGCGTGTGCGGATTTTTTTTTTGGAGGCTGGTGCCTACCTAACCTCAGCAGCGAGCACAACCTGATTCAGGCTCGGTGTCCCGCGGGCTCCGGCCCCTTGCCCGGGCGTGGCCTGACGGCTGGGCACGGCGGGACGCCCTGAACCGCCACCATGTCAGCGCGTGCAAAACTGTATCTTTCCGTCATGAGTTCCCGACACGGGCTAGGCAGACATACACGGGCACCATTGACCACTCATGTGTCTTGTGTCTGGCCGGGTTGACCCCGGACGGCGGGTGGCTTGCTGATGCCGGGCGGAGTTGCGCATCGGCGCCCAATATCGATCACGAGAAAACATCGGTGTGTCGAAAAGCTAGTTGGGTCTGGTGGCTGCTATTGGACATCCTATTTAGGTGAAATGACAGCGAGCGCGAGTTCGTCGGATGAGATGGCTGAGTCATTCTGTTCTTCCTTTAGCTGCGTCATTGCAGGTCTCTCAACGGTCCAAGCTGGATTGACATGGATTTATCGGCTTCTTAGTTCTAGCAGGTAGCCGCGTAGGTAGGCAGATAAAGGTGGTGAGTGAGATGTGATCAGTAACAAGTAACTTGCATCCATGTAGGTACCTAGGCACCTAGGTACGCGCATCGCACATCTTCCCAAGGCCTAGGTACCAGGACCTGCAAGCTTACCCGCGATCGATTCGATATCGCCAAGTCTGACGCCCGGCGAGAGCCGCATCTCCCGAAATCACCGATTTTGGACCGACCAGGAAGAAGGGTTGGTTGGGTCTCGGGCACACTTGCTGGCAGACGGCGCGACGCAAAACCAGCCAACAACGCCATGACTGCGCGCTCAGCTCTGGTCAGGCCACATCGCCGCACCGCCCCGGTCAAGGCAGAACTGCCAAGCCAGGTGGCTGTCGGGGCTGCGACGGGGCGGGCGGGCGGCAGTTATGCGAATCTGTCACCTCCCTGGCATCGCCCGATGAAATTGGCGAAATTCCATGCTCCAAGGCTGGCTGCAAGTAGGGGTTTTTTTTTTTGGCGAGACAAACAAGCAATTCTGAGGGCCGCTAGCAAGTGTCTGAATCCGATCCCCCAGCGGCCCCTACGCCCAGGAAGGCTGGCGAAAGTGGATTTGGGCGCAAACCGCAAATAAACACACCCCTGCCGGTTTCGAGCGAATGTGCGCCAACTATCTGCACTGAAAGCGCACTGCCAAGCAGGCTCCCTCATCATCGTGCATCCGTCGTCATAGAATGATTGTCGTGCCACCGTCGGATTGATTTCGCCAGAAGCCCGCGTTCCAATTCCCGGTGCATCTCCAACAAGAAAGCCAGCCGACAACGGACGAAAAAAGCAATCCGAAACCTCAGGAACTTGGAATCTCAGCGCCTTGGAAACTCCCTAGAGTGGGCAGCTCCAGCACCTGAGACCGCAGCCCTCAAGCGCACCGCCGCCAGCCGAGAAAGAATCCCCGCCACATATTGGGGGACTGTTTGGAACACGGCCGATTGAAATCATGAGCTCACAACCCTTCTCGCCAACCCGCGACAGCCACCGCCGCCGCAGCAGCAGGCACCCGTCGGAGCGGGATCGTGACTCCCTGTCCGACGACGACCTTCACCGCCGCCGCCGCCGCAGCCGCAGCCGCAGCCGCAGCCGCGTCGACGGCGCCGACAGCGACAGGTACGCCGTGGTGCCCCGGCGGAAGCAGCGGAGCCGGTCGCGCCGCGGGGACGATTACGACGACGAGGACGACGAGGGTAAGGCCATGGGGCGCGTGGTGCGGCGGCGCCGGTCCGACGACTCGATCGCGTCGTCGTGCTCGGGGCGAACCCAGGTCTACGACTCCCGCGGGCGCCGCCAGGACGACCACCACCACCACCGCCACCGCAGGGACCGCAGCCAGTACAGCGGGCGCGGCGGCCACCACCACTACTACTACGACGACGACGACGAGGACCTGGAGAGGAAGAGGGAGCAGCAACACCAGCAGCCGCCAAAGAAGCGCAGCCGTCTGGACCCCAGGGTCATCATAGCGGCCGTCTTCTGCGTCGGGGCGGCGGCCTATTGCTGGAAGGAGGCGTCGAGTGACCGGAAGAGGAGCCCGAGAAGGGAGGAGTGAGCATGCCAGTCAAAACGATGAGACACGCATAAAGGGGAGGGCTGGAGCAAACGCCCTTGTTTCTTGGGGCAGGTAAACGCGATGCCACCCTTGTCGTATATTTCACCGCCCGTCCCACTCGCCCTTGCTGCAGCGCAATGCACGCACGCTGCAGGCCGACCCTCGTTTCCCCTCACATCACAGGCCAGGCGCCGCTAGGGGTCCTGCAATCACGCAGATAGGAGAAACAGCGGCGCTCTCTCCCGGCGGCGGGCCACTTGTCTCAAAAGGTTGACACACAGGAACAAGGGGGGGGGGGGGAAGGCGGACAGCAGCGGTTTCTACGGCACATGGTACCCTGCGATGTGATGTGTCGGACTGCGCTGCATGCAGCGGTGGGCAGCACCATGCTGGCCGGCCGACCGTATTCTCCCTCCCCCGCCCGGCATCTGCCTGCCGGCTCTCGATGTTCATGCGGTAGACTTGTTACCGATCGATTGCAGCTGGTCGAGATGAAGGGGAGGGGAGGGCAAGGGCGGGGGGGAGCGGCCGGCCCATCCGTCGTCAGGCACAAGGGTGCGATGGGCAAACCAGCCCACCGCCTTGCGTGGTGCGTGGTGCTCGCCCAGAGAAATAACGAAAATTAAATATCGTTCGATGGGATGTGCTCGAAGCGAGTCACCGAAACCCTGGCGGGCGGCCTTGGCAGAGATGGTGTTCTTTCGACCCGCTCCCGACCGACTTTTTAGAAGCTTGGTATTGCATGGGAAGAAGAGACGACGTGGAGATGGACGGATGGGTATTTTTTTTCCTAGTCTCCTTTCAGGTTGCTGGTCACCAGCGTCCCGCCTAGTTACGCAACTGGAGGCACATGTGACATTTTCTATTCATCTTTTAGCGTTTATTTTTTCTGGTTGAATTGCTTCGCCTGTCCCGCGTTCTGCGTAGAAGTACTCTAGTAGGATTCCGAGACTCCGAAGTTGGGCGCTGGCGGACTTCCGCCGGCAGCGGATGCGAATATTTGGATTTTGGCGGGTTTCCGCATTCCACGATGGCTTTATTTTGTATATATAGATAGATCTTGGAACGATGTATTGCCGAGCATGCACTCGAACGTCATTCTTATTAACGTGTCCATCTCGGCAATACCAATCTATTCAGGCGAAGCAGGAGCGACATCGAGCCAAACACCACCTCGTGAAAGACAACACCAGATGTCCCTATCCCCGTCCCCCATGTCGTCTCCAATCAAGAAGGTCGCTGTTTTCGGTGTAAGTACCACGGGCATCTTCAACCATCCCCGCCACCCACCAACTGCTCCTCCTCCTCCTCATCCGGCACGGGCCGGTCCCCACCGCCGCTCTCGGCAGGCGTTCATGTCCCTAACACGCTCCCCCCCCCCGCCCCAAAAAAAAAAGGCATCCGGAAACCTAGGCGCCCCCATAACAGCCGCCCTCCTCGAAGCCGGCTTCGACGTGACGGCCATAACGCGCGCCTCGTCCTCGACGCCGTCCTCCCTCGCACCATCCGTGCGCGTCCTCCGCACCACCGACGACAGCTACTCGGACGACGACGGCGGCCAGCTGCGGGCGCTGCTGACGGGCCACGACGCGGCCGTCTGCGCCCTGGGGCCGGGCGCCGTCGCGGCGCAACCGG